ACTTTATGGAATATTGAAAAATAATCTTTTTAAGATTTGGTGCTTTTAATGTAGTTGGTCAATGTCAAAGTGATAGTATGTGTCCAACAGTCGTGTTGCCTCTGCCTTTCAAATTTTAGTCGCTAACTTGTTACCTACACTTTTTTTTTCTCTTTCTGTTCTGTATAAACGTGAGTTAGTTTTTATTTAGTTTTGTAAAAAAATCATATTTATTCTTTGCTTGTTAGAAGACGGTTCAGTTTTATAATATTGAGTAATTTTGATAGTTTAGATATAGGTATATTAAAAGGAGTTCAATTACCAACAGCGACTTTAGATTCTAGTTTTCAAAATCATTGAAGTTGTAAGTTTATTCTTATATGTTTTATTTTAGTGTATAAATAAATAAGTAAAATATACTAAAACATTTTTTAATTGAAGGTGATTACTTTGCAACATCGCACTTAACTAAGCCCTTAACAATAACATTTCAACGAAATCATATTTCACTTATCAATTTTGCAGAGGCGTACCAAAAAAAATTTAATTATTTATTTAAACACATAAGTAATTAATTCAATCTAAGACCGATATAGTTATTAAATTATCATGTGTCTTTTAACAGGTATCTTATTCGCTCCGTGCGTAACCATGGTAGGGGTACCTTGAAACAATGCCAGCGTGCGTATTTACGCATAAATTTTATCACAAATGGGTGCAAATACATGTTGCGTATTTATTTGTGCAAATAATAGCAAAAATAGTAAGTAGTTTTTATAGGTTTGCAAAGTCTTGATTTGTCAGTACTAGATTTTTCCCTTTCTTTTCCGTTTGGGGTTGCAAAGATAAATTATGATGAATTTTTAGAATTTTGACAATTATTCATAATTGTCAATTTCTTATATATTTAACATATTTTTAACCTCAAATTGGGAGGTCCAAAACTCTCAGACGAAGGCAATAGGTCAGTCACGCATTTATAAAATTGCTGTCTGCTATGAACGTTATATTTGTTTTGTTTTAACTCGAATTGAATTCATTTAACTATTTATTTAAATACATAAGTAATTACATAAAAATTAAATTTAAGACCGATATAATCATTAAATTATCATGTGTCTTTCGACTGGTATCTTATAGTTGTCTAACAAATTAAAGTAAAATTTTAATCTTATTAGTGAGTACCTAATATAGAACTTCAAAAAACAGAAAACTTTGAAAAATACTTATTTTTTCGTAACAATAAAACACTGAAAACTTTGTTTTCAAACTTCCACAAAATTTATTTTAACTATTATCACTACAGCTGTTTCGGCTGATTGCCTTTCTCAAGTGATCTATTTTTGGCATGCGTTTACAATTTATAGTCTCTAATGAAATAGGTTGAGGAGGGGAGAACTGTTTGTCTCAAGTTGGTCATTCAGAATTATATCTGTATTTTTTAATTTGTTGATTTCCATAGATTCTAACAAAGATAGCTTAAGGCTTTTATTTTGAATGTGAAGAATTTTAAATTTGTCATTAAAAGAATGATTATTATCTAGAAGGTGAAGTGCGTATGTCGAATCTGTTTTTCTATTATTGAAAGCCCTTTTATGTTCTGCTATTCGTTTATTAAAGTTTCTACCAGTTTGACCGATGTAAGTTTTTGGGCAGTCGCCACATTGATTGTACACAGCACTATTTAAGTGTTTTTTATTTTGGCTCTTGTTATTCAAACTTCAATGTTCAAACTTCAAACTTCTTGTTGTACAAACTTTAATGTGGCGACTGCCCAATATGCCCAATGTGGCGACTGCTCGAAATATGAAATAAAGATGGCACTAACTACTAAAGAGTTAATAGCTTTGTTAGAAGAATACTCAGATTGTGAAAATGCTGACTCACTTAAAGTGTTTCATTTGCCGCCGAGATTAGATAAGAATGTGTCTTATGTAAAAGACATTGATGATAATATTATTTGTGAAGAATCAATAAAATCGGATATTGCAAGTACATATGAAATACAAGTGATTGGTAATTCTGATTATGATATTCCTCTGAACCACAGATAAAACGTCCAAAGAAAAAACTGGTCAAAAATAGTAGATCCAAATTTGTACTTAAGTTGTAACAACAGATACTTCTTCGTACTGCTTTGTGCTCAGTAGTAATTCAACATCAGTCTGATTGATATTTAGACAATATAAAAGCCAACAATGGAGTCAAGTCATATATTTTAAAGTTTTTTCACTCTTTTTTGATAAAAAAGCATTCTATATTTAGATAGCATTTCTATCCTGTACATAGAAGCATTTGATAAAGAAGATTGAGAGCATTCTATACTTTTGAAGAACCGTCACGATTTTGAAATAAATAACATAGATTCGTATATTATCTGATTCACACTCTGCTTTAAGTTGATATATATTGGTCAAAAGATGAAGATAAAGAAGTGCACAGTATATTAGAAAGCATTTATAATAGTGAAGAATCGCTACATCAATGTCAAGCTTCGTACATGTACCTCAATCTAAATTTGCTTTACCAGATTTGACAATTGGCCACATTACAAAAAGAGACGATGGTGCAAGAATGTAGGATATGCAAAAGTACTACTATTTATTTATCTAAAAGGTGTAGAATGCATCTACACCCCGAAGGTTTCGAACATTTTCACCTTACAATTTAATTTACATTTAAGATGTTCCTGTATTAAAAATTGTACAGTTTTCCTTGAAAATGAGAAAAAAAATCTTTTTTGTTGTAAATTGTGTTTTAATATATGTGTTTTTATTCCAACCTAATAAATTAATTGACAAATTCCTCTTTGTATACTGACCGGCCGTTAACGGGTTAATACTATAAAAAGAATAAATTTGCCGCAACTTTACTTACCTCAAAACTATTTTAAAGTTAATAATAAAGTCTATTTAATAAATATATTCCCACGAAATAGAAAACGCTACGCCTATGCACATTAGAATTTGGAACGAATAAACATAAACTAAAATATCATATTTCACTCATTAACATTCTTTCTAAGAACGTAAATATATATAGACCAGCAAAATATTGAAATGTTTGCGGATGTTTTAAACTATTCAATAAACTTGTCTCACTACACATTCGTGAACCACACCAATTTATATTGTTACGGGGGAAAATGTTATGAGGACTATATTACTTTTTCGCTTATTTACATGGGCGAAGTATACGCAATAAAAATGACCCCTGTAAGAATTTACTACTGACATTTTACACGGTTGCCGCTACCGTTTAGTTCAATTTGTAGATTAGTCATCTTTAATTGAAATCTGTCCGACTATAGTGTATAAATTTTATAATTATAAATAAAGGACAGTGCACGAAGTTTGCATCATGCATATTTCATCATTTAGACAATCCGTTAACATTTACTAACCAAATTAAAGACCATAAACGAACCAGAAATGAAGTTCCGGTTTACACCAAGTCGAATCGGTATCCACACATTCATAAGGATGATCGATCAAGGAATCATCAGACCGAGTGAATCGCCCTGGTCATCTCCAATGTGGATCATTTTAAAGATACCAGATGCCCCAAGAAAAATGAATTAGCGAATGGTTGTCGGCTACAGGAAGGTGAACGAGAGAACCATCGGTGGCCTATATCCAATTTCAAATATAACAGACATTCTGGACAAACTAGGAGGCTGCCAATATTTTCCACCTTAGATGTAGCCAGCGGATTCCGTCAAATTGAAATGGAGGAAAATATCTAGAAGACTGTATTTAACGTTGAAAATGGTCACTATGAATATCTGAGAATGCCATTCGGACTTAAAAATGAACCCTCAACATTCCAGAGAGTAATGGAGAACGTACTAAAAGGACTTACAGGATAAATGTATTTAGTCTACATGGACTACGACATTATTGCATTTTCAACCTCTCTTCAAGAACACATGGTAAATATTAAGAAGATTTTTGAGAAATTAAGAGAAACAAGATTTAAAATACAAGTTGACAAATGTGAATCCCTTAAGAAAAACGAATGCTAATAATAATTTAACAGTTAACTCTAATACGTTATGCAAGGAACACTATTGTTCATAAATACTAAAATAATTAACTAATAAAAACGCCTAAATAGAGTTTTAAAAACTAAATACGTTTTTTGTAGATATATTACTTGTAGGTGAAATAGTACAGTATCTACTATTCTGTAAGTTTCAGCATGCCAGTTAGGATTCATTTAAACCGATAATATTATTATAAAATCTTGTTGTAATCCGCCAAAGTGTTGTACAAAATAATTAATATGGCAACCCTGTTAGTATGACGATTCGTTTAAAGCATTTCGAGGCCGAAATGCAATCTATCAATGATAAATATTACTCAAGTTTCAGATGGAGCCATCTCTCTACGATACAATTTAATGGCGGCAGTTGAAGATATAATTCTTGTTTAACGAGATTTTTTATATGTTTAGGAAACAATATTCAACGTTTAATTGCAAATATTTTCCACTTTTACAGTTTTATATATGTTGTTATTAAAATTATTTTCGGTTCCTTACCGGTAGCTTTATTATAAGCCAGAACATATTATTTTTCCCTATTGTGACAAAACTGTACATTCAAAAAATTCATAAGTATTTCTTAGGGTTATATATTTATGTTGTAAAAAAATTAACAAAATTATATGTTTGGTTTTCCCGCTTTATACTTGGAAAAAAGTAGTTTTTTTAAGTTTCTTCGAAAGCGAAAACATGAAGTTTGCTTAAAATTTGTCAAAATACTTTTAGTGATCACATATACCTTCTCAATTTTTTTCAAATTTTTTGAATGTGCAGTTTGTCTTTTGTGCGGTGCAGATCAACCTTAAGCTTCGTAGGGGAGATAACCCTTTAATATAAAGAAGATAGTTAATGTCTTACTACCCTTAGTTCTTTTCCTGAACCATGTCCAATAGTAGATTTTTGTTGCAAATGAAGTTGGGAGATTATTCGTTTGTTTTAATCGTCATCAGAATTTGTTTATTGCCAATTGTTTTTAGAGCACTACAAGACCAGATGCTGTTCGGAGGATGGTCAACTATTAGAGCTAGCCAATGTACCAGAACACTGTTTTCCGATGATTCTTCCAGATAACGATCCAGCTCACTCCAATGACAATGTTAAATGCATGAGTTTTGATAGAACCATCACGGATAGAGATCGTAGATGTGTAAAAGGAAATTCTCCTGCCGAACAGGTGTGTACATCCATAGAATACCCTTTAATAAAAGTTGTTGTTATGTTGTACAATACAGTTTTCCTTCTTCTTCTTTTTTATATGTTGTATATATAATTTGTGTTGATTGTGTACTATTTAGTCTTATTTGTGATACCTCTTTACTGGTTTTCCTTCTTCTGTTTGGTTCCTTATCTCTTATAATGTTTGCATTTATGTCTTCTCATATTCTTGTTACAATTTCTTCTTAGTTTTCTTCTCCATCTCGCTGCATCTTAAAAATCACATTTTTGACTGATATCTTTGTTTCTTACTCGACTTATGACCCACAGTTTTCCTATTATAGATCTTAATGTCATCTCAGCTATTCTTATAATCTATTTTTTCTTTGTATCAACCCTTGTTTCTAACGCGTATGTAAAATATTGGTCGAACGCAAGTTTTATAAACTCTTGTTGTTTTCTTTGCAATGCTAGATGACTGCTTCTTAACACCTTGTGTCATAATGCATCTACAGTGGTTGCTTCTTTTCTTAATCGATTAGCTGTTTCCTCATAAATGTTTTAGTGGTTTGATATATTCGCTTTCAAATAATTGAAAGACGTTAACACTACAGCTATACCTTCCTTTTTTACCCATTGATATTGTCATCTGGTATTCTTTTGCCAATTTGTTAGATATGTATAGTATCCTCTGTATATCATTTTCGCTATTGGACACCAATATAGCATGGTCATAAGCAGCCAGTAGTGTTACACTATTTATTAATTTGCCCATTACCAAGTTAAACAAGAATGTAAATATATTGTTATTATATAGTTGTTATTCTATTTCAGCTTACATCGGTGAACCATTTTATGGATTTATCACTGGTTTATGGCAATGATGACGAAACCAACCACCAACTGAGAGAATTTAAAGGTGGTCGACTACGTTTTGATGCCAGAAACGGCCACCAATGGCCACCAAGGGCTACCAATGCCTCAGGAACTTGTCGATTGACAAAGCCAAAAGATGCTTGCTACTTTGCAGGTGATACCAGAATCAACCAAAATCCGCAGCTAGCCCTTCTACATGTAATACTTTTGCGAGAACACAACAGAATCGCCGACGTACTTTCTGGGCTTAATCCTCACTGGGATGATGAAAAGTTGTTCCAGGAAGCGAGAAAGATTTGCGTTGCTGAGCACCAGTATATTACTTACTACGAATGGCTACCTTATTTCGTTGGTTTAGACAGAGCGCTGGAGAGTAGATTGATTTGGAAGACTGACGGCTTTGTTGATGATTATAATGAGCATGTCAATCCGACTGTCTTAAATGAGCACTCAACAGCTGCTTTGAGAAATTTTCATACATTAATAGCTGGAAAGATTGAGTAAGTATCAAAGAAACTTCCTTGAAATGTTCATTTACTTTTATCTCTAGTACTCCAGCGCATCTTGACATTTATCTATAACGGTATATAAACTACATTCATATTATTTTTCTTCCTATGCGTAGAGATTTTTTATACTGAAATAGAATATACCAAAACCGTGTTCATATTATTCTATGATTGGTCTATTGTATCTAAAATTTAATGAGTAGTGCAGTAGTTTAGGTTAGTATAGGTTCAATACATAGACATATAATATAAGATAGATTGATTGCTACAATGCAGTCTCGTTCCCCCAGTGCGATAGAGAAAACTGACGATCAATCTATCTCGTATTATATGTCTTATGATTGTGGCTTACCCTGAGTTAAAGTTGTCCTTTCAGTATAGCCTTTTTAACAAAGTCTACTATGGCTTTTGGTGACACTTCTGGTGACTTAGTCTTAAGACTCAAGTTGATAATACTCAAATGTATTAAGCCTTATCCTCTCCAACCCTGGGCACCTGCACAGAAAGTGTTCGACCGTCTCGTCTTCGGTCTGACAAAATCTACAATCGGCACTTTTTGTGAGTCCGATTTTATTTATGTGCTCCTTGGGACGACAGTGCCCTGTTAATAGACCTACGATCTAGTAGATCTTTGGATCTTTTTTTCAAAGGTTCTAATATAAAGTACTTCACGTGCTAAAAAGCCACTTGTTCATAACAGTGGTTATGATTCATCCATTCCACCCAATCCAATGTTGTTCTTCTGGCTGCGCTTCTTGCTATGACAACGAAAGGTTCTGGACCTATCAATTTTTCTGTCGCCTGTCCCCTAGCAAGTAAGTCCGAGTAGTTGTCGAGTACACCTATATTGTTACTTTTTACGATCCGAATCAGATTCTGCAGAAAGTTTCAGACTAACTCGGAGTTGAGTATGTCTAACTTCGATTCAATTCCAGTACCTTTAATGCCACCTGGCCATTAAATATCATTTTTATAGTTCTACCCCTGCAGTTTCTTGTTATTAGTTCGTGTAGGTGTAAACCCATTCCAAGTGCGACAGAGAGAAAAGATATGAGCCATCCTTGCTTCTCTTTCTAGTGGCCGGGTTTATCGACCACGTGATCTTCCCATTACTAAACAATCTCCAGTCGGAAGGTCACGTGGTCGATAAACCCCGTCCATTAGAAAGAAATACAATAACTGCTCGCATCTTTTTGTCCCAAAAAACGGGCAAGAAAAGCCCACATCCTCGAGCGCCGAGTCACCGAACTGTGCATAGCCCAGAGCGGCGACTCGAGACCCGAACAAGCAATACAGATCGGTGACAAGTCACTAAAGATAGCGGAAATAGAGCTTCTTCTGCTCGCCTGCATTGGTCGAGGTAGAATTTTGTGTAGTAGGCCTTGTACCCAGGACTCCCACATGACAAGCACTTTGCTGATAAGAAATCCTTTATAGTGCATTAGAGCGCTAGCGGGAGGGAAGTAGATGGTCTGGAGAATTGGAGCAGGATAGAGTGATTCTTGTTTATGCGAGTTAATCCTTCTCACCCCAATGAATTGTATTACCCTAATGTCATACTTAAGGGGTGTTAAAATCTTAAAAACTGGATTAAACTATTGCTTGCTTGCTTGCTTGCATCTTGTTTCTCTATCACACTTGGGGAACGGATTTAGGAAGGTATTACATGCCTATACATATATGTAATCATATGGTCAATGACCTCTATGAACTAAATAAAGCTTCCCTCGTACCAACGGCGTTCACAAATCCAAACTGATTGTTAGGCGCAATTTGTTCCTCGCATTTCGGGTAAATTCCTTTGTGGGTAATTCCTGATGTGGGTGAAAACAGCTTCAGCAGATGGCTCATTAGGCTTATGGTCCTATAATCTTCACAAACTTTTACTCCTGGTTTTTTGAGCAATGGTACGAACTCCGATTTGAGCCACTCTACTGGTATTTTTCCTGCCTTTTATATTTCATTAAATATTTTGAGTTATTATTTTTATTTGTTCTGCATCTAATAGCTTCAACAGTTCTGCAGGAATTTCATTAAGTCGCGGTGTCTTTCCATTCTTCATTTGTCTGACGGTTGCCGTTATTTCTTCTGGTAGGATTTCGGGACCTAAGTTTTCTTTAATGGTGGGCTCTTGTATTGTTCTAAGGTCATGGAAAAGTTTCTGCCTGTATTCTTCCCATACTTTCTTTTTATCTTCTTTGGTTATGGCAAGATTGCCTTCATCATCTGTTATTTTTCCGCTGTTACGTTTTCAGAACTTTGCAGCTATTTCCTTCACCTTTCAATGAACATTGAAGTTATTATATCGCCTCTGATACTCCTCTATTTTTCTTCTGACGATGGTATGGATTCTCTAATATTTTTGGAGATTTTCTTAGTTTTTTTCTCTGTTCCATAAGCTCAAGTATTTCTTCGGTCATCCACGATTTCTGTTTTTCTGTTGTATCTTTCTTCAGGTGTTGTTCTTGTATTTTTCTTACTGTTTCTTGTATGATCGGCAGACTTTCCTTTATAGTTCCTGCATTTGTGCAATTTAGCACCTTTGTATTGAGGTTTTCACTCACCTTCAGTCGAACATTGGGATCTTTCAGTTTTCTAACATCATACTTCTTCATCGACTTACTTGTAACCTTCTTCATTCTGACTTTGAAATTACCTACAACTAGTACATGATCAGAATTTATGTCTGGCCCCGGGTATGTTTTGATAGATGTACAGCTGTTCCTATACCTCTTACACAGAATACTGTGGAGATTTCCAGATGTACAGTTTTCTTGGGTGTATCTTAAACCAGGTGTTCATTATTACTAATTGGTTTGTTTCCGCAAAAATCTTCAACGTATCTCCTCGATCGTTCCGGTTTCCTAGACCAAATGGTCCAACTGCAGATGATGTTTTGCTGGCCCCAACTTTGGCGTTGAAGTCACCAATGACAATTATTAGGTCTTGGTTTTTCAGCCTTTTCACGACTTGATTAATGCTATAGTATAGTTCTTCTATCTCTTCTTCTGTTCTTTCTTTTGTAGGTGCATACACTTGAATTATATTGATGTCATTTGGCATGCCTTTAAATTATATGAGCATCACTCTTGCTGAGATTGGTATGAAGTTGTCAACAGATTTTGCCACTTTTTTTTGTCAATATAATGCCGACACCCAATTCATGTTTTCCGTTATCTGATCCAGAATAGTAAACGCGGTGTTTCCCGATATTTGCGATTCCTGAACTTGGCCAACGCATTTTGCTTATTCCCAGAATGTTTAATTTCATGTGTGCCATTTCTTGTATTGCATTATGCATTTTACCTTCCTGTGCCATGGTTTTCACGTCGCATGTGCCTATTCTGATGTCTTGTTATACTTGTAACTGCTCCTCACGGAGATCCGATTGAGAGCTTACTCCGGAATTGAAGTTCGCTGCAAGACTAATCATTTGATTATACTAAGACTTATCAAATCCGGATCTTTAATGAGGTGTCTTGTACTAATCTGTCTTCCTCATCTCTATGCCGTTGACCGCTTCCACGGTTTTTCCGTCTTTGAAGCCAGTTTCTTAACTCCATGACAAAGGGGTGCCCTACCATTTACTAACTCCTACATCCGAAGCTGTTGGCCTGTAAACGGGGGATTGCTTATACCGTCAATCGCTCGATGGAATTTTCGTCATATCTGGCTACCCTAAGTAGGCAGGAATGATACCCGTATTTATCTTTACCTTAAAAAATGAATGGTGTAGAGACAAGACACAATATTGATCATATGTCCATAGCACAGAGTTCTAGTGTTCGTCTGTTAAAGTAATTTTGAGTAATAGGAAAGTATTTATTGTGAGTTTGTATTGTGCTTTAAAATCTTCTGTGCAGCAATTTATAGATACTTTTTCAAAGTTGCTTTTAGATATTTTTGTGAGTTGTTGTAGTAACTTGTTGTTATTGCAGCAATAAAACTAATATATTTATTTTCTTAATATTGTATGTAATATTTTTAGTTTAGTTACTGAAAATGGATATCACCATCAATCTCTAAGGTTTACAGATGTATTGAGACGACCACAAGTTATAGAAACCAAAAATATATTTGATGATCTCATCAGAGGACTCACCACACAAGCCCAGTCAGCTTCAGACCAGTTCCATGACAGTGAGGTGTGTATTATATATTCATAAAATATATTTTTTATGTAATCAATTAATGTCTTTTCCTCAGGTAACTCAGTTCATGTTTAGAGAAGAAAACGAAAAATTCGGAGTAGACCTTAGAGCAATAGATGTACAAAGAAATCGAGACCATGGTTTGGCATCGTATAACGACTACAGAGAGCTATGGAAGAGACCAAGGGCTCAGAAGTTTGAAGATCTTTTAGACTCTATCACTCCAGAAGTAAGTACTGACCAAACTAACTGCTGTTATTCCAGTAGTACAGCAAATAATCTTAAAATTTTGGGATTATTAGCTTTGCTTTTTATATAGGTATGGTATAAGTCATACTTTTAATCTAAATAATATACAGATTTATCAATATCTGTCATGTTTCTAGCTATTCTCTTTTAAATACGTTTTACTCCAGTCATATGACACTGAACCTCTAAAAAGCATACGAACCAGCAGCTAAATTTTGCTAAGAACATCAATTTTGGGACCCCAAAAAATGTAGAGTTAACTACTTCTACATCTGACTTTCCTCCAAAACTGCCCTCGTAGGGATTGGAGGAACGGAATCGATTTGCCTAGAATCTGTACGTCATAGAAAAAAATGTTTCAAATAAAAAATGTAGCTGATATAATTCAGAACAACGCTTGAAGCGACTGGCGATTTTCACCTTCACCTTTAAAACGTATTTTGTATTTTATCGATAGGACACTCTGACTATCACAAAATATCGAATTTTAGAATCTCAAAAACAAGAGTTGTTTTTGAGAGAACGGTTCATTCTACACAAAAATTTGAATTGAATTGAATTTTAAACTTTTTTTCTACAGCGTACAGATTCTTTTAGGGAAGAGCCGGGGGTAGGAGTGGTAAGATGTTTTGCTTCTTTTTTGGGTTCCCAAAATTAACATTCTCAGCAAAATTCAACTTCTTCGTCTCGTTTTTAAAGATCAAATATCTGACGACTGGACTATTTAGTTTCCTTTTGTTGTAATAATTTCTTCTATCTTTTAACTAATGTTGTATTTTGATACTTTTTAATACAACTTTGACCAACTGTCACTTATCACCTGCTGTGTGACAACCAATGCAGCTAAATGCTTTAAAATAATTGATGGATTCGACTGTTATTTGATGGAAATTCATTTTATGTAACAATAAAATACTGAAAACTTTGTTTTCAAACTTCCACAAAATTTATTTTAAACCTTATCACTATAGCTGTTTCGGCTGATTGCCTTTCTCAAGTGATCTATTTTTGGCTTGGGTTTACAAATTTATAGTCTCTAATGAAATAGGTTGAGGAGGGGAGAACTGTTTGTCTCAAGTTGGTTATTCAGAATTATATCTGTGTTTTTTAATTTGTTGATTTCCATAGATTCTAACAAAGATAGCTTAAGGCCTTTGTTTTGAATGTGAAGAATTTTAAATTTGTCATTAAAAGAATGATTATGATCTAGAAGGTGAAGTGCTTATGTCGAATCTGTTTTTCTATTCTTGAAAGCCCTTTTATGTTCTGCTATTCGTTTATCAAAGTTTCTACCAGTTTGAAGATAATACAACAGTGTAGAAACAGCTGTAGTGATAAGGTTTAAAATAAATTTTGTGGAAGTTTGAAAACAAAGTTTTCAGATTATAGCTTTCATTTGAAAATATCTTTTACACGTAAAATCAATCGACTGAGTTTTCTTTTGCTATTTCTTCCATATCTTCTATTGTTATTTTTATTATTTTTCACCTATTATCTTATTCCCTACTTTAACTTTAATGTTATTTTCTTTGAATAGTCCCATTAAATTATTTAGTCAAGAAATTCGTTTTATTCGGACTCTTCTCTTTCTGAAAACATACCAGAAGCCTCAACTGCTTCCAAAGAAATGCCAGAGTCGGCTTTAGCGTTCTTCTGTTTTTCTACTCTCGAATCTAAGAAAAAGTTTTCCAAATAATTCTTCATATTAATTTTATTTATTCTATGTTCACTGAAATGTCTCCTTTATTATTTTTTATTCTTCCTCGTCTTTAAATTCCTATTTATTTCCTTATTTGGTACAGTTTACCTTACTGAGCATTTACTTCAATATATTGGTTTTTCCTCGGTTACTACTTTGTTATATTGTCGTTAAATTCTGTTACATGATTTTATTTATTTCTTCTTCTTCGCGTGCCATATCAGAATTATCCGACGTTGGCGATCACTATTGCGAAGGCTTCTCGGTCTTCTGCAATATGGAATAATTGTACTACATTTGATATCAGAGTCCATTCACGAATCTTTTTTAACCAAAAAACTTGTTTTCTTCCTACACCTTTACGGCCCTCTATTTTGCCTTTAAGAATCAGTTCTAATATATTATATCCACTTGCCCTTACTATATGTCCCAGATAAGACGTTTTTCGATGTTTAACAATCTTTAGCAGTTCTCTATCTTTGTTGACTCTCCTTAGTACTTCTTCATTAGTTTTCCTTGCTGTTCAAGATATCTTCAGTATTCGTCTATGAATCCACATTTCCAATGCTTCAATTTTGTTCATGATCGATACTTTTAGCGTCCACACTTCTGCACTATACAAAAGTACGGACCAAACAAAGTACTTAACCATTCTTTGTCTTAGTTCTAAACTGAGATGGTTATTGCAAAGAAATTACTTCATTTTCATAAAAGTAGTTTTAGTCATTGCTATTCTACGTTTTATTTCTATGTCTGGATCTAGTTGGCCGGTATGACAGTTCCCAAAAATGTCATTTTGTGAACTTTCTTAACTTGGACTTCGTTTAATTGAAGTTTTGCATCGGGATGTGGTTTACGACTAAACGCTAGAAATTTGGTTTTGTTTGAGTTTATTTAAATGCCCATTTCCTCTTCTTCTTACGGTGCCTTATCCTTAAGGATCTTGGCCATTACATTTGCCCATTTAATCTTATTTGTAGCAGCCCTGAATAGTTCTATGGAGGTCATGTTCGTCCATTGCCGTAGGTTTTTAAGCCAAGAGTTGCGTCTTCTTCCTGGTCGTCTTTTGCTATTGACTTTGCCTTCGATTATAAGTTGGAGCAGTTCTTACTTTTGATTTCTTATGATGTGACCAAAATATTGTGTTTTCCGTTCTTTTATTATAAGCATAAGCTCTCTTTCCTTATTCATCCTTAGCAAGACTTCCGCATTTGTTGTATGGCTCATGTAGGATATTCTGAGCATTTTACGGTAACACCAGAGTTCAGATGCTTGGATTCTTTTTTGTGTTGCTTCTGTCATTGTCCAGGCTTCAACACCATAGAGCAAGGTAGAGAAAACATAGCACTTAAGTATTCTAGTTCTCAATGAGATGCCCAGCTGGCGGTTGCATAGAACTTTTTGCATTTTGTAAAACATTGTACGTGCCTTTTCCAGGCGTATTCTTATCTCTAGTGAGTGGTCCCAAGTTTCATCAAGATTACTTCCAAAGTACGTTGTTCTTGTTACTCTTTCCAGATCTGTTCCGTCGACATTGACCTTCACCCTTCTGTTTTGGTGCTTGCTGATGACCATCGTTTTTGTCTTCTTTGTATTCAATTTCATTCCAAATTCTCTATAGGCTGTCATTACTCGGTCCATTAAGCGTTGCAGGGCTTCAGCATGATCTGCCAGTATGACAGTATCATCAGCACATCGCAGGTTATTTATACATTGCCCGTTTATAATTATACCATCCGAGGTGCCTTCCAAAGCTTTCTGAAATATCTTCTCAGAGTAAACATTGAACAGCAAAGGTGATAGGACACATCCCTGTCTTATTCCCTTCTCGATATTGATTTTTCCAGATGTTTCGCTTTTTATTCTGATTTTAGCCTTTTGTTCTTGGAAGAGGTTTGAAATGGTCCTTAAGTCTTTATCGTCGATATTACATGACCTTAAAATATCTATTAGTTTATCATGTTTCACCAGGTCAAACGCCTTCTGAAAGTCTATAAAACACAAGTATACATCAGAATCGACATCTCTACATCTTTCAACTAGCACACGTATTGAAAAAAGTGCTTCTCTTGTTCCGAACCCATTCTTAAAACCAAACTGAGTTTGACCAGTGTGTTCGTCTAGTTTATTGTATACTCTATTGTGTATTACTTGTAGGAAAAGCTTCAACATATGATTCATCAGGCTAATAATCCTATGGTTTTCACATTTCTTGGAGTTCCTCTTCTACCTCGTGAATACTATCAAGCAGAATTTGAAGACCTTTAATATTATCTGATAGAATTACTGTATCGTCTGCATATCTAATCACATTAAGTAGTTCCCCGTTTATTTTTATTTCATATGGTTGTCTCTCAAGTGCCTTTTTAAATAACTGGTATGAGTAAATATTGGACAATGTTGGCGACAAAATGCCACCTTGTCTGACTCATGTTAAGCGCAAAAAGTGCCTCCCTGATTCTCATAGCATTTCTAAAGCCAAATTGGGTATCTTCAAGATCTTCTTCGCATTTGCGTCTAATTCTGTTGTGAAATATTCTTAGGAAAATTTTAAGAGTGTGGCTCATTAGGCTAATTAATCGATATTCTGAGCATTTTCTCACATTGTGTTTTTTAGGTATTGCGACAAATATAGATTTAAGAAAATCTGTGGGAATCACTCCGGTGTTATATTTGGATTTGAAAGTCTTACTACTACTTTTATATTATCATTCTCTATTAGTTTCAGTAACTCAGTTGGTGTATCGTCTAGACCACAAGCTTTTATAATTTTAGCATTATTTATAGCATGTTCTACCTCGCAGTTCCTAATTTCTGGGCCGTCAGTACAGTTGTGGTAGACTTCGGCAATATTATTAATGCCATCTTCAAAGAACTCTGTGATATATAAATATATATATATATATATATATATATATATATATATATATATATATATATATATATATATATAGCTGCCATTATTTTCTTATTTCGTGCTCATTAACAATAATTTTGGTATTATTGTCAACCAGTACAGAGGGAACTTGTTTTTTAAATATGTTACTCATTTCTTTTAGTTTTTTGTGCATATTAAATAAGTCGTGTTTAGATATTACATCCTCCGTTTCGTTGCACCTTTTTCTCATCCATTTTTCTTTGGCTAATTTGATCTCCTTTTTTGTTCTTCTCTGCAGGTGTCTATATTCTGTTACATTAGATTTTATTAGTTGACGTTGTTCCTTTAATTTCAAGATGTCGTCTGTCATCCATTTATTTTTCTTGATTAAGTTTTTTCTATAATCATCGTTTGTGGAGATTTCGTTAACTTGGTTTTTAAATTCACTTCATAGTTCATCTAAATCTTCTAGTTGTTCTTCGATGTTTTTTATTCTATTGTTAAATTTTTTTTAATGTTATTTGTTATGTTTATGTGTTTATGTGTTTAAGTACATTGGTTTTTGGGTTTTGTCGCTGAATTCGTTTTAACCTTAGTTTAGTATCTGCTACAAGTGTTTGATGACCAGATCCAATATCTGCTCCAGGAAATGTAGTACTTTTTTGACGGCATTTCGGAAACGCTCATTTACAAATATAGTCTATTTGATTTCTTGAAGACTCAGAGTTATTTGACTCTTTTCACACTTTCCTAGTGTATAGTCGTCGCTTGGGTAGTTTATACCAGGTGTTTGCAATGATCATATCGTTTTCTTTACAAAATTCATACAATCTCTGTCCTCGATCGTTAGGTTGTTCTAAACCAAAAGAACCTACAGTCTGATCTCGTCGACCTTCCCCAATTTTTGCATTGAAGTCGCCTATAATATATAAAATTTCGTGTTTCTTAAGTTTCTGTAAAATGTCTTGGATCTGATCATACAACTTCTCGACTTCATCGTCATATTTTCTATCTGTAGTCGGGGCATAGATTTGAAGTGTTTTAGTTTTAAATGGTTGAGTATTTATTTGAAGTAATATTATTATATCCGAGACTTGTACGAAATTGGTCTCATATTTACTCAGTTCTGATGTTACTAAGATACCTACACCATTTTTGTGATGCGGGTCTTCTGTACTGTTACCGGAGTAATATAATAAACTTCCGTCCTTTTTACATGATCTTGACTCTGGCCATTTAATTTCGCTTATTCCAACTAGGTCTATTTTCATTCTTTTCATTTCTTGAATTGCTTTCTCTCAAGTTTCCCAGCCGCAAATAGCCGCAAATATGTTTCTCCTTTCCTGCCGAATCTTGGCCTCCGCTTTCCATGATTAGTAACGGTTTGCAATTGCAGTGTCAATTCTATGGTGATTTTCCTGGAGGTGCTCTATGAGCCGTTAATGCAGTTAAAGCAGAAGGCCCTTTGCCTTCTGCTTTCTTATGCCGTTGACCATTATTTGTTGATTTATCCACCTTTACTTATTAGAGAGGCATATTATGCATTATTTAGCATATTAGAAATGTTTGATATCTCTTATGTGAAGCTTGTCTAACTGTATTCAAATCTTTAAAACACATAAATATTTGCTAAAATTCAACTTATATTTTCTAGAATGTTATGGCTTTATCTCAACTCTATGAGCACCCTGACGACATTGACCTAATAGTAGCAGGATCTATTGAGAAAAATGTAAAAGGAGCTTTAGTGGGTCCAACGTTTTTGGGTATAATCATCGAGCAGTTTTACCGAACAAGAGTAGGGGATAGATTTTTCTTCGAGAACAGTGGCCCTCTGGAATTTAAACTTGAACAATTGCAGGAAATTCGTAAAGCCAGTGTGTCAAAATTGTTATGCGATAACGGACACCACGTTATTAACATACAGCCTAGAGGATTCGAAAGGATATCTCAAAGGTAGATATAGAAAGTTTATTTTAATTGCGTGTTAGCTGCTTTATTTCATACCGCAACGACCGATACTGTTTTCATTTGTTAACATTGTAATTAAGTGATTTTGGATAACCCTAAAGAAAATAATCCTGCGATGTTCTACGATTTGGAAGACTAACTCATAAGTTCAAAACGGGAAAATTATGTGCCAATTGTTTTTATTTTTCTTCACATAAAGGCAATTCAATTTAGAAACAAAAAATTGTTGAGTAAGGTAAATGCATCAATACCTGACCCTGTACCAGTTGATGACACCTTCCTGTTTATATTAAAATAATAAAGAAACTAATACTTCATGGATATTCAGATATTCATGGAAACTCAGATATTTCTTAACATCTTTCCCAACTAATAACGTTGCAACAAACTTGGCAACAGTCTAAGTCTAGGTTATACACGCTAACATATTTGCCGCCACTACATCGTATTAAACTTTTAATAGAATCTTAGTAAATGTGCTTAGGAGGTAAGTTTACACAATAGGTATTAATACTTTTTGTTTTTCCCGGTCATTCATACTTATTACTTCCCTGTGATATAAAGTGTATGTAAATCAATATTTTGAATCTTAAATGGAATTTTAACCCAAAAAAATCTAAAATATGTAAGGGGTCAACTACTGGAACAAAATAAAAAGCATTGCTCCAGTATTTGACACCCCTGTCATCTACTGGAACAAAGAAAAGAATTTATATTCTTATTCCATCTCAACTTATTGACCATGATATAACCATTTCTGTTTAAAATATTATTCTAAAGATACAATTTCCTATAGCCGACCCAGGGTGTCACCTTCAGGTGCAATATGTATGTATGCATGACTCGTGGAAAAAATGTTGTTTACTCAAATCTATTAAGGGCCTAAAACCCTTAAATAACGGATAAAATAAAGAAATGAGAAATAATGATAGATATTGCTTGTTTATTATGTAACAAATATTTCATATTAACATATTATACTTCATCTAATTTACATACCGATGCACGTCATCGGCGTCATAGCACGCGAGGTCACATGATACCAACACGAAATATTTAGGCGGTAGGTGTGTTCTTTTTAGAATCACTTTGCCGAGTATATGTATTACAGCCACTAGACATATTTTATTATATACGCGTAGAAATAATATTTAAAGATTTATATTAATGTTACTTAAAGAAATACACAATAATATGTTTCATTTAATTTGTATAAATGCGTTCGTTATAAAGCGTTTTTATGAAGAACATTTGTTCGGAACACACTGTAACTGTAATCGAACGAAGGTGAAATTTTGGCATAAATTGGTAACACTTATTTGACAGTTGCGGTGTTGACACTTTTTGTACTTTATTATTTTGAATTTTAAAGTGAATACCTCTTGTTTAATATTTTTACCTATTTAATAAAATCTGTGCTTTTTAGAACAAAATTAGTGTGTTTTATTTCACAAATGTCACGTAAGAATTTAAATAGTCGTTGTAAAGGGATCGTAATACTTTTGCAATAAATCCTATGTGACCTATTTGATTTAAAATGGAGTCAGGATTTTTTTATACTTTGGCAACTATGTCAACTTTGATATCTGTCAATGATAATGACGTGCATCAGTAAGTAAATTAGATGAAGTATATTTTACTGTTATTCTCAAATCTTAAAGGTTAAGAAATCCATTTCTTTATCGAAATGAATGCATAACTGCCTACTTACTTATTTATTTATATTTTTTACAGGTATGGCTACTACAAAAATTTTGCTATACCCTGAAATTTCAATTATAAATGCCCTTAATGCGGTAAGAAATGGTATGCCAGTTTAAACCGCGGCAAAACAATTCAATGTGAAAAAAACCACCTTGCTTTATAAATTTAAAGGTGTTAACCCAGAAGCAAGAAAAATGGGATGTGCCACGTTATTTTCGAAAAATGAAGAGGTTAATTAACATGTCCAAATGGGGTTTTCCGATTTCCAAAGAAATTTTTTTATCGAGTGTCTCGAAATTAGGGAAGGAACTCAACAAATCATTTAAGAATGATGTACCAGTAAGAAAATGGTATAAAAGTTTTTTACGGAGACATCCTAAAATAAGCCTTAGGACTCCCCAAAACTTAACAATAAGTAGATCTTCTATTACAAAAATACAACTAGGAAGATGGTACGAGGAAGTATACGAATTCTTAGAAACAAACGACTTAACAAACGTATTGCAAGATCCAACTCGTATATTTAATGCTGACGAGTCGGCATTTTTTAAACCCAAAGAACAATAAAGTGTTGGCTCTGAAGGGTAGTAAAACTGTTTCTTTTTCTTATAGTGCCGTGCATCTATAGTGCTTTGGCGAATTATCTTAAGGCCAGACGTCTGGCTTTTGCGGTATGCAAAAGATCGCCAGTGTTCTCCATGGCTGTCCAGTTCTTTATGTTTCGTAGACACGACATTTGTTTGCGACCTACTCCTCTCTTGCCTTCAATCTTTCAAACAGTAAGACTGTTTACTCAACAATAAATAACAATGAAAATTAGTGCCTCACTGTACTATATATGGAAATGCCGCAGGAAGTTTAGACCCATAAATGATAATTTTTCGGTACAAAATAATACCTTCAGATTTTTCTGAGAGCATTCCGAAGCATTGGGGAATTGGTGTGTCCGAGAACGGGTGGTGGATGATCAGATATTTTTATTCTTACATGGCCAATGTGTTTTATCCGTGGTCAATACAACATTTTTCATTTCCTATTATATTTCTTGTCGATGGGTATGCTTCCCATTTATCCTTTCATCTCAGTAAATTCTGCTCAGAAAAAAATATAATTCTGATTGCTTTGTATCCGAACGCTACCCATTTACTACAGCCTATGGACGTGTTTCGCATGTTAAAATCTGGTTGGAAGGAGCAAGTAAGTTCTTGGAGGTTAAAAAATCAACACGAGTTATTAAGAAGACGGGACTTCCCTCCACTATTAGATGCGGCAATAAAAGATCGCATAACTCCGAAAATTCTAGAAAATGAATTTAAGAAATGCGGTATTTTTCCGTGAAATCCCAAAATTGTTAATGATTATTTTTTTCAACAATGAAGATCACACTTATTTACATGAACAGCAAAGTCAAAAAAGTCTGAAAACTCCGAATAAAGGAAAATCTTGCTTTTATTGAATCTTTTATAGAGACAGATAGACTTAATCAATTTGAAAATGCTACATAAGACAAAGTGGTGTGGGTCAATAGAAGATACGTCATTATTTTTTCAAGCTTGGAAAAAAATTAAACAGAGCAAAATTAACTCAACTGCACAAAATCTTGAAAACTTTATTGAAGAGGCTGAAATTTTTTTTGAATATACATATCTTAACTTTGATCTTATCAATTCTGTAGGGAATTCAACGGATGCTATTGAATTCCTTGATAATGATTCAAGTCTAGTTTCAAATTTAACAATGTCTCCTATCAAGAAAATTAATATACTATGTGTAATAGATGTAACGCTTCAAAATATCAATCTAAAATTGTCATAAGCACTTGTCATAGAGATCAAAACACCTATCAAAGACAATGTAAAAGATGTAAAACCTCAAAATAGCAATCTAGATTTGTCAGAAAACCCAAATATAAGAATCATCAGTCCACCAAAAGAGAATCTGTATTTGCCACAACATGTAACGCCTATTAAAAATGCTGAGATTTCCCAAAATCTTTTAAAGCCGAATCTAAAGATCTCAGAAGACAAAGTTTTATTAAATAATTATTATATAAATGTACCCAGTAGAAAAAAAAGTTCAAATGGAAGCTGAAAAACTAGAAAGAGAAAGAAAGCAAGAAACGAAGAAAAAATACAGAGAAGCCAACAAAAAAAAATTGGTTGAAAAACGAAAACCTACTTCTGAGAATGTGTCCTTAGATTTAAAGGAAAACATAAATAATTCATCCAGAAAAAAGCCCAAACTTAACGATTACGTGGTGGTAGAGTATGATGGTAAATATTTTCCGGGTAAAGTTCATCGAGCAAAAAGACAAAAGAGGGAATGTAAAGGTAGTGGGGGCAAAAATATTGTTAGACAGGAAGTGCGATCTTTAGAGGCCACATTAAACAAGGAAAGAGAGTCTCACTCCTTGTTTGACATCAAATTTAGTTGGGTTATGTTATTGTTTGTCCCAAATGTCACATGAAATCTTATATTGAAGTTTTTTAACAATTGTGTCGCATTTTAGACTATTACCGTTAATAATTAATTAAAACTTTCTCGTCTAAGACACATTCTGAAAAATGTTATATAGTTACTGTTAATAAGTGTCGGAAAATTTAAATTTTGCCCAGTCGCATTTCCGGATATGTTCGCCATTAGAGGCCACTTTTTTGGTCTCCTTTTCATAAGGATTAGATTCCCTCTTTTGTCTTTTTGTTCGATGGTAAAGTTACAGCAGCCAGAAAACAGGAGTATTTCATTTCCGCAATGACTTAAAGCGGAAAGGAGTGAAAGAGGTGAAAGTGAAAGTTAAGGAATCAGTTCAAAGACAACTGAACGAAAATTTAATTTGGGAAAATATTGGTGAAAACGTATATGAGGGCTTAAATAAGATCAGTAACAACAGTAAAATAAATCTGTGTGAGAAATTTACAAGGCAGGTCAAAACTAAAAAAGCAGGGTTGGATGACAGATGACATATTGGATTTGATGGAACAACGGCGACTAGCGAAAAACAACGAAACACTTTACTACTGCATCTAAAAAGAAATTCGACGTAAAATATGGGAAGCAAAGAGTCAACATCTAGCAAAACAGTGTCATGACATTGAAGAACTTAAAAAAAGATACGACACGTTTAACATGCATAAAAAAAGTTAAAGAAGCGGCTGGTATCTTCAATAAGAAACAAACTGCATTGCTACAGGATGAAAATGGTAAAGTACAATTTGTAGTAAAGAATGGGAAAATTACGTCACGAACCTATTCTAAGACGATAGGAGTAGTTCACCTCCCGATATT